GCAAAGGAGGGTGAGGTGGGCTCCAAGGAAGGCAGTCGGAGGGAACCTGCATCTTAAGGACAGGAAGGGGTGGGGTAGGCAGGCCCGGGGCCAGAGAGTCAAACCACATGCTTCTGCGGCTCCTGGTTCCTACGGCCTCTTGGCTGTTGCTGTTCTCTCTGGCTGAGCCCTCGCCTCAGATCCTTGTCTGGCTGGCACCTTGTCCATGCCTCAGGGCCCGCTGGCCCTCACAGTCCTCTCTGACCACTCTGAACCCCCACCCTCCAGGGACCCCTCTTCACATTACCCCACCTTATTCCCTGTGTAGGTACCGGGAGGGCTCGTGCATGTGTAACCAAACTGTGCCCTGGCTGTGAAAATGCATGCTGCCCTTCTTGCCAAAAGAACGTGGAGACCATGAGAGCAGAGCCTCGCCGGTCTGTGGTGTTCACTGTCGTGTGGCGGGGCCACCACGTGGGTGGGCAGATGGATTCACGTGTGGATGGCAGCCAGATGCCTGCATGGGTGGAGGCGTTACGGGTTTGGGGTGCTGAAACTTCCTTCCAAAGGTGGTTTTTAGGTTCTTCTTGTCTTGAACAAAGAATTGGACAAACCAAGTACAAAAGGTAGTGAGGGTTTATGTTTATTAAAGGTAGGAAGAGAAGCATGCTCTGGAGAGTGAGTTTGGTCCAAGTAAAAGCAGGAAAATAAGTACACTATGGAGTGAGAGAGAACGCAGCAGCAGAGAGCTCAAGGCAACGGTCCTTTTGTACCCCCCTCCTCAAGCTGACGTCAGGTCTGGGCCGTCCTGTCAAAAGCCTGCTCCATTTCTCACGAGAAGAGTTAAAGACAGCAGTCTCTGATTGGTCCCACTTGCGGGGATGTGGGAAGTGTCCTTCTCGTGTATCCTGGGACTTTGCCCTTAACGGGTCATGTGGACTTCCCCAGCCAGGCTGCCATGCCTACTCCTGCTTCTGAAGGAAGGAAGAAAGCATGGATGCGTGGGTGGTGGATGGATTGGATGGGTGGGCATCTTTGAAGAATGAACAGCATCCCAGGTGGCAGAAGAGGCTGGGAAGAGGGTGGTCACTATGCATCCATGTGGAGACACAGCGGTGTATCTTGAAGAGGGGCCCCCGCCAGGAATAGCTCAATCTGATGCATCCCCGTCTCGTCCTGGCAGCCAGCACCTGACACCCTGGTCCGTAAGGATGTGTACCTAGGTCCCGGAGAACTCTGGCTAGGCCGGCCTCCCTGGCAGCAGTGCTGTGTCTGCTGCTTCTGCTCCTGAGGGCTCTGGCCCCAACTCTCACGGGACAGGGGTCCGTGTGCACCACTTTTCCCAGAGAGCCCTGGAGACCATGGTTCGCTAGGGATTTGCTGCTCTCCTGCCCTCGCTTACCAACTACAATCCCGGTTCGTCGTCCTGGCTCTAAGAGCTACGTGGTCTGAGCCCAGAGAACTCCCCCATCGCTCTCTGAGCTGGAAACAGCTGTGACTGTGGACGGCTCTGACCCCCTGCTCGGCCATCGGCCCTGGACAAAGGCCTGGCCCAGCTGCTCGAGGATTCACTGGCAAGGGCTGACAGGAAGCTCTTAGCAGTGCAGCGTGCAGTGTGCCCTTCACGGTTGCTACCGCTCATCTTCCCTCCACCCTCAAGTCATCTCCCACAGGGAAGCAGTCTCAGGGCTGGGACGGAGCAGCATGGAGCCAGGTTCCAGAGAGAACCAGAGGTCTCTACGGGGCACAGCTTCAAGGTCACATAGCCCGCCTGTGCCCAGGCAGGACTTGAACCCAGCACTCTCACCTGGGCCGCTCCTTCGGAGCCCAGCCCTGAGTGGCAGGAAGAGGGATCCCCACTCGATGCCCAGATGTTGTCAGGCTCGTAGCTCTCTTCTCCACCTCCAGGAATGAGTCAAGTCTGCCCCGTGTGAAATCTGCCTTACCATGCTTATCATATTACCGGGCCAGCATCCGCCCGGCTTTGAAGCTTCTGGTGGAAGCCGAGCCCCCTCCCCACGAAGGGGCCTTTAATGCCCTGTGCTCTCAGCTTTCTTAGTGAGGATTTTCCTCCACCTCCTCTTTCTCTCTCCCTTTTCATTCGGTCACCAGTATGGCTTTGTGCACGCCGTTTGGATTCCTCACAGAGAAGTCGGGGGTGCAGGGCCCTCCCCTCCCTGTCACCCACTGGCTGACTGTCCCAGAGCCCCCCAAAGAAAGCGCTGCTCCTGTCAGGGCTCTGGCAGGGATTTCCCTCTGACCTCACACCCGAGCAGCAGGCCCCAGCCTTGTGGAGAAGACCTGGCATCACCAGGGCACGAGGCTCCACTTGCAGCGACAGGTGCCAGGGCGCGGGCCATGCTCAGCCAGTGTGGTGGGAGCCAGGGCACCCCTGCCCCTCTTGCTGCTCCCCTCCCTCCCATCCCCAAACTTCTGCCCCTCGAAGCGGTCTCAGGGCTGTCCCTTTGTGCCCTCCACCCCTCAGGATGGTGCCCTCTCTTGCTGTCCTCTGCTCCTCAGTCAGTCCTTCGAGCTCTGGCGGTGGTGTCCCTGGGTCTAGGGCCCCCAGCTCCCGGCAGACCGCTGGCTCCAGTGGAAGGCCCAGACTCCCGCCCCAGCCAGGCCTGATGAGGGTCTTCTCACTCCAGGGTTTGTTTTGACACACGTGCTTCCGGGTGTGCAGCCAGTAAAGCGACAGGCATCCAAAAAAGGGTAGGAGGCAAAGGCAAGGAAAGCCAAATCCGGGACATCTTCCCCCACGCAAAGCAGCCGTCTCCAGTGTCCTGATAAATCACCTTTTATCTCCCTGCCCTGGGTGCCTGGCAGAGCGCTTCGCCCTGACACGTGTGGTCTGCACAGTGTAGTCGTCTGCAGGAGGGTGGCCGGCTCTCTGGCTCCAGGGAGCACGAGGGAGGGAGAGCATGTGGAGCACACGCTGGGGTCAGTGGCTGAGCCAGTCTGGTGTGATGTCCTTCAGTGTCCAGGGTCGACCGGGCAGGCCTGGTGCCTGCACTGTGGCGAACAGGAAGTCGCAGACGGCCGCAACAGCAACTTTTGTGTCCCCGCCCGACTCCTGTCATTCCCTTCTGCCTGCCAAAGGCTTCTCTCCACTGGAACAGCAGTGTCTCCCCCAGAGCTGTGCCCCACCCATGGAGCACCGCAGCCGGAGGTGCCGGAAGTGATGCTCTGGGGCAGCCGGTGACGAACAGGACATGGGAGGATGAACCCCTGGCCTCCGCCCAGCCTCATGCTCACACCCCACGGGCTGCTCTGCCTCCTCTCCAGGGTCCCCAGCCAGGCTGAGTAACTCCTCGGGGACTGTCCCTTCTCTGCCCTGCCTTAGCCTCCCTCCCCCTAAGGATACTCTGGGGTCGCCTCGGGCAGAAATCACCCACAGACAGACGCTTGTTTCTGGGGCTCTCTCTTGGGGACAGTGGCCTTGCTTATAGCTCACGTGGACCACGCGGAAGCAGCCGAGTGGAGTGCCATGCGGCCTGCAGGTTTACACATGGATGATGGGATGATCCTAACAAAGACCCCTTCCGTGCAGGGATCAAATGGCTTCTACAACTAGTTCAAACAAATGAGGGCCGGGGATTTAGATTAGTGGTTCCGCTGCCTGCCTCGCAAGCACAAGGACCCGAGTTCGATCCCCAGTACCAAAAAAAAAAAACCAAATGAGAGAATTTCATTGTTTTTCACAAATGAAAAGCACTGGGACAATCTTGGGTTCAGGAACAGCTATATCCAGCTGCTGAAAAGATGTCAAGGGAATCTGCCCCTACCCTCTTAGCCCGGGTGTTACATCATTGAGAAGCATTTACTGAACACCTACCTTGTGCCAAGCACAATTCCCCTCTCATTGTTCCTTCTCAGGCAATAACAAGGTTGGCTTCCATTGGGCCAGTTAGCAACCCTGGAAGAGGCCCCAGGACTGGCCCAGAGGAGAGCCTCTGCACACCCTCAGCCAATCAGTGTGGCTCTGGCTGATGACGCTGTGCTTGCTGGACCTCATTGCATGGTCCATTAGGACCATGAGAATTGAGAATGTGGGGAGCCTTCTCCAGAGGGAGGACCAGGACCGCAGATGTGTGACAGCTCTGGCAGAGCACTTCCTCATGCGCCAGGATACGTGGGCCCCGTGAGGGGTCATAGAATGCAGCGAGTGCCCAAGGAAGGGATACTGGGCTTGGATGTTCTGGAAAGAGGAAAATCACTCCCAGCTCAACCAATGCCCATGGGAAGACGTCTAAAAGGGGGTGTTGTCCCCGGACGTCAACGGACACAGGACACAGGAGTGTTAGTTGGGTAGGGCTTTGAACATCAGACCAACCAGTTTAGACTCTAAATTTAACAGACTGAAAGGACCATGCATTGATGTGTTTATCCTGACTGAATGTGGCCGGCACAGAAGGGCCTGGTAAGAAGAGCAGAGGGGCTGCCATTTCCTGTAAGGCTGGCCCGTATCTGGAGAGAGATGTACCAGCCTGGCTGGCAGCTGTGTACCCAGAGCAGCCGGGGAACAGCCAGGCTGGGGCAGCCATAGTCCCTTGGCCTGGCTTGTGCCCGCCCTGGGAATGGCCACCCACCCAGACTAAGAATAAGAATTCCTGCCTGGCTGGCAGAAATGAATGCTGATTTCTCAAGGGAGGATGGGCCTGAAAACAAAACATAACATGTGGGCTGGGCCGCACTTTATTTGTGAGTTCATTTAGGAGCCACACCTACCTCAGGCATCAATCCTGCCTTTAGACCCAGGCAAGGTGACTTTGCCAAGTTGTTCACAGAAGCCCAAGATGGCAGCCTCCAGAGAGAGGCCCTGGGCCCTCAGCCTCAGGCACCTGCTGCTCCACCGTGGAGGTGACTATTCCTCTCTTGGGTTTGGGGGTTTTTCTTGGGTTTTTGACAGGGCCAGAGGTGGTAGCAGACAGTGGGTGGCTAAGATGCTGAAGCGAGGGGAAGGAGAATGAGGGGATCCCTGGCAGCCAGACTCACCCAGCTCATGAGAATCTCTCTTCCAGGCAAGATCCTCTTCCGGAGAAGCCACATCCGGGACGTAGCTGTGAAGCGGCTGAAGCCCATTGACGAGTACTGCCGGGTAAGTGGCTGGGGCTGAGGAGGGACCCATATGCCCCAATGTGTCTATCTGCCTAACACCCTCTTGAGGCCCAGGGGGGGGGGGGGGGGGTCCTGGCCAGTAGGGGCCGAGTGAGTGTCACCTGGGGAGGGCTCATCACGTGGCTGGGTCACCCTCTGGGACACAGAGGCCTTGGGTTCACAGCTAAAGCTCTGCCGCTTTCAGAACCTGTCCATGTTTACAGAATGCCATTTTGAGTCACCTCTACCAGCTTGTGAGCTAAGTTAAGGCTTCCTATTGAAGGGATTTTTGTATGTGATGTTTTGCTGGCTATAGAACTATTTCTCTGAATTCCTTTTGAGCTGTTGGAGTCAGCTCTGAGTTCAGTGGCACCTGGAATGCACATTCATTTATTCGCATAAGTCTTGATAGATGCAAATATTCATATATGCATATTCATAGATGCAAATGATCTCCCCTCCCTCCTCTAGTCTCTCTCTCTCTCTCTCTCTCTGACACAGGGACGATGGCACTGTCATGCACCACAGCCCAGGTGTGCTTCTGCTTTGAGTGGCACCCAGGCCCCCTGGGCTGAGCTTGCCAGGCTGAGGTCAGTGTTCTTGGCCCATGGCCTTAGGCTGGCCAGAATGCCTGGGTTCAAACACTGACCTGCTTCGTGAACTTGGGCAAGTTACTTGACTTCCTGGAGCCTCAGTTTCACATCTTGCAGTATGGAGGAGACAGTCCCAGGCAGAGGGTGGCAGGGGCTGGAATGAGCTGGCCTTATGCCAGGCCCCTGTGCAGTGTTTCAGAGGAGCCATCAGCAAGCACTCGGGGTTACTATCACAAGACACAAGCATTTGTATGAAATAAATGAAAAAGCAAATAAAGAGCTAGAGGTGTTTCAGTGGCAGGGCTCTGGCCTACCATGCTCAAGGCCAGGACTCAGACCCCAGCATCAAAAATAAGTGGAGGAATGAATGCAAATAAAAAGTTCCAGGGCAGAGAAAGAGAAGCAAATAAGTAGAAAAGCAATAATTTAGCGCCATCACTCCATGTACCACTGGCTTTATAGAAGTAGAATTTCCTAGTTAAACAAAGCCGACGTGCCTCAAGATTCTCAGGGAGCAAGTGTGAATCGTGTGTGCTCACAAGAGCAGATGTTAGAACAAGAAGGGTTGGAGTCGCATTCCAGGCCCACGCTTCCTAGCTGGGCTTTGCCTCCTCCGCCAAGCTTCCTCATCTCAAAAGGGGGTAGAGATGGTGGTCTTTTGGGGCCGAGTGGGAGACTGCACCGCTGAAATGCTCCCTCTTACAGTCCCTTTCTGCTCTGATATTCTGAACCGTTGTGCTTAGCAATAAAAATATTGGGTCAAGGTGCTAAACTGATTAGCTGGCAGTCACCAGCCTCTAGGAAGCCAGGCGCTCCCACTTGCTTGGCAGATCCCTGCAGGCTCTTCCTGTCGTGTCCTGAAAGGGCGGGCGCCTGGGGATGAATCCCCCCCCTGGCTGCCCCTCTTCTTCAGATCAGTATCATTTTCCTCTTTAAGGACATTCACTGTTTCTAGTTAAGTTGATGGTTGTTGCCTGAGCTTTTATTTCTCTTTATTCCTTTCCCAAGAAGTGAGACCGGTGAGCAAAGCTAAAGGGGGTGGGGGAGCAAAGGCCAGAGGAAGCCTTTTTAGCTCAGATCAGCCTCTGCCGCCCAGAGCTGGGGAGCCCGAGGCATCTGATGAGCTCCAGGGTCAGTGGCAGGGAAAGCTGATAGTGTCATGTCTCCACGGATCGCTTCGACCAGGACTCCTTACTCAGGGGGCTCTGGGGCTGCAGGGGGACCCGTCCACATGTGGCCTGCAGGCAGAAGAGCTGCGTACAAAACGTGATTAGAGCAGGTGGCACTGCCCCAAGCCTGGCCGCTGCACCATCCACGGGCCATGCCACAGGCAGGAATTGGCTCAGAGAATGTAGCAAGGTGCGGGGGTGGGGGGGGGCAGACAGACCTTTAATTCTGCTCCACTAAAAACCAAGGTCTGTGGCTTATTTTCTGAGAACCTGCCAACCTCACAGTGACCAGGAGCACAAGCTAGCTGTCGTCTGTGACTGCACCCAGCACTGTTTTACAGTTCGGCCACCAGACAGTCAGCATGAGCACCACTGCCTGCTGCAGCAGCTTCATGGCCCGTGCCCCGTGTGCCCTTCCATGGCCAGCTTCCCTTGTCTGTCCCTGTCCTTAGACCCTGCCCAGAGCCTCTGGTGTCCTCATTTCTGTCCCCGGCATGTCCAGCTTGGCAATACTGACTTAGTCTAGGTTGGGTTGAGGCCTCAACTGCACCCAAAGCTGTGAGGCTGCTTACATACAGAGTGCCCAGCGGGAGGCTGGCTGCGCAGTGGACCTCCCCGACGTGGGCCAGCCAGTCCCTCGCCTAATGGTGGTTTCTCAGTCCAAATATCAAGGGTACTTGTAGATGTGCATATGGAGTAGACTGGATAAGCATTGTGGAAAATTCACCAAGCTCCAGGCGGGCGATTGTTTCCTGTGGCACTGAGGCCAGGTGTCTATGGAAAGGGTTACAGAGGCATTTCTTTCATTCCGTAGCTTACTTTAATGGGCAACACAGTTGCGTGGTTACTATTTAATAGTTCTCAACAAGTCCAGGACTTTCAGACTGACATTTTATATGTGACTCCATTTACCCTGCTCCTGTGGGTGATGCCCATGTTTGCAGTTTTTCTTGGGGCTGAAATAAGTTACCCCGGCGAGGACTGTGTGAGGGAGGACTGTGAGGACAGCCAGCTCAGCCTGCGTGTGTCACGACGCCGATAGCAGGCCTCGCTTCCAGTGCCTTTGCTGCCTCGGAAGCGGGGCCTATCGACTCCTCTGTCCCTGGCACGCTTGCCTCAGGCGGGGGCTGGTCCACCCGGATGGGGGCAGCACAAGGGCCTGTGGGTCTCCTTGTGCCCCTCGCCTCCCAGGCTCACACAGCCCAACCTACTTCCCGATTCAAGACAGGCAGCTACATGGCGGGAAATCCCAGTCCTGAGCATTCGAGTCCAGTGGGATTTTCTCAGCCCATCCCTGGTGGCCCCGAGGGATGGTGACCTTGCTCACCCTTGCTCTTATGGCCCCGGTTCTGAGGGTGGCTGGGGTCAGGGGTGTTGCTAACGAGGGAGCCTCAGGCATGGAAATCTGCTTGCTCTTGCTTCCCCGAGTGCTCTTGTTGTTAACAAAGCCGCTCTGAGCATCCCGGCCAGGCCCGCCTCGGCTCCTGCCGCTCTCCGGGCCCTGCTTTCCAGCTTGCCAGACTGGAGGCCCCTGCTGGCTGAACAGGCCTCTGCCCTTGGCCTGAGCTGGTCCACCTCGCAGGGCACACTCAGCTTCTAGTCGCTCCTCGGAGGAGCCGTGCAGCTCTTCCTTGCCCAGAGCGCTCCCTGGCTGCCCGTGCTGTACACTTGGCCTTGGCAGGGCAGTGACATTGCTGGCACCTGTGGGACACTGCGAGGGCCTCATCTGTGACCGCGCCTGGCCCAAGGGCTGTCCACTGGTGTCTGCCAGGGTGACCGTCGCCACTGAGAAGCCTCCTCAGGTGTCACAGTTGTGATCTAAAATGTCCCCCCAAAGTCCCAGGGGCAATTGGATCGTGAGGACACTAAACTCAGCATGGGTCGGTCCATTCATGCTGAGCAGGCTGGTGGGAGGCAGTGCCCCATGGAGGAAGTTGGTCACTGGGGCGTGGCTCGGAAGATATGTCCTATGGCCAACCCCTTCCCCTCTCTCTGGCTCTTTCCAACCCTTCCGCTTCCTGGCTGCTGTGAGATCAGCAGCTTTGCTCTGCAGCTCCTTAGGTGGCTGAGGCAGGAAAATCATAAGTTTGAGCCAAGTGTGGACAACTTGGTGAGATCCTGTCTCAAAATAAAAAGGGTTGGGGATGTGGCTCAGTGCACAGCCCTGGATTCAACCCCAGTACAGCGAGAGAGAGGGAGGGAGAGAGAGAGAGAGAGAGGGAGGGAGGGAGAGAGAGAGAGGGAGAGAGGGAGAGAGAGAGGGAGAGAGACAGAGAGAGAGGGAGAGAGGGAGAGAGAGAGAGAGAGAGAGGCAGGAAACTGTGATTACAGAAGTAGTTCTGGAGACCCCACCTTTGCAACTGGTGGTGATCTGGGAAGGGCTCCTAGGGCAGGGGTTGGATGGGGGACACAGCAGGAGGCAGTGCAGGCAGGACTCCAGTCACCCCCAGCACACACGTGCACACGCACACGCACACACAGCAGCTGGGCTTTCCCTGTAAGGTTTCCAGAAGTAACACTGACATTGCTATAGGAGGGCGACCCTGCCGTCATAGAGGGAGGACCCCGCGGCTGTCCTGCCAAGTGCGAGCGTCTGCCTTGTGCCCTGGACCAAGGGTCCCTGAGTGCGGGGCTGCACGGGGTGTTGGGACAGGCAGGGTGGCTGAGCCCCGCTGCTGTTTCAAGCAGGGCCCAGAGGCGCCTGCAGCCACCCTCTGCCTTTCCACTGGCACCGTCCTCACGAGGACTCTGCCTCAGAGCACACAGTCCCAAGGGCAGGAGCTGGAGACTCAGAGCAGTGCAGGCCTGGAAAGGGGGCCACGGGCAGGGCTGACCGATGCCAAAACCCACAGGACGCTGGGCGCCTCTCCCCAGCCCCTGCAGCCGGGCCCCTCCGCCCACAGCCCTTCCCAGGCCCGTTTCTCCAGACTGCTTCTGTAGACCTCCTGCCCACCCGGGCCAGAACGGCAGCGCGAAGCGGACAGAGGTCAGGCCATGGCACCCCACAGGCATTCACTGCTCTGTCACGCACACTCCAGCCCTTTCCCAGCCTGGCACCCGCAGGGCCAACGACAAGGGGACTCATCAGGTTGTGTCAAGAATGCACCACAGGTGCTGTCTGCATCCCAGAGTGGGAGTCCCCCAGAATGCCTCTGCCCTGGGAGTGCCCGCTGTGTTCCAGGGGACGTTGCTACAGTCACACACCTGTGGACAGTGCTGCAGGGCTCTGAACTCCCACACCTGATGTGAAATTTTGCTGTTTCTAGCTGTGTGACCTTGGGGAATTATTAACCCCTCTGCACTTTAGTTGCTTCTATAGGGCGTCGCAGTTATACCTGCTCTTGGAGTTAATGTGATGATGAAATGGGGCAGTACCCCAGGATGCCTATTAGCAGTAAACCCCAGCTAAACTAGGCTCCTGCAGGACTTCTCAGAGGCTTTTATATGCTAATGAACACGGTGATCCCCACAGCCAGGCTGCAGGGAGCCCATGGGACCCAGCCCCCACCCCTCCTGAGACAAGGTCTCACTGAGTCCCTGCGCTGCCCAGGCTGAGCCTGAACTTGCTGTCCAGCGGGCTCTGAGATCCTCATGCTGTCCTCGCACCTGACACCCTGACAGGTGGTGGGTGCCGTAGTGAAGCTGTCCTGCAGAGCTCAGAGTGGCAGGGATGCATCTGCACCACGCAGCCCGAGAATGCAGAGCTGGGACTCCAGCCTGAGTCCTCCTGGCTTAACTCAGCCCCTCGACGCACGGTGAGCCTTGGGCCTGCGTGGTGGTGATCCCTGGAGGTGCCATTGCCTGGCCCCACCTTGCTCTTCCAGACAGCCGGGTTTGAGGGTCCCACTCTGGCTGTCATTCTGGCGCAGCCCGGGCAGACCGCTCAGAACCAACGGCTCCTGTCAGACACTGGGGCCAGAAGCGGCAGCTGCTCTGGCTAAGAGCCTCCTGTCCGCCTGATGGTGGGATGAGCCCTCCAGACTGCTGTGCGTGGCCCCCTGCTAGCTGAAGATGCCACAGCCAGTCCCCCGAAAGCTCTCTTTGTCTGAGGCCCTCAGCCCACGCATCCTTGGCCAGCGCTGCTCTCTGTCGGCATGAAGAGCCCCTCTGTTCCCGCGGTGTCAGATGAGCCAGGGCCAGGGCCTGCGTCTGGCGGGGCAGCGCCAGCCAAAAGAGCTCTGGCAGTCCAGGCTGGTGACGCCGGCTCTCTCCTGCCCTGTGCCGCCTCCCTGTGCCTCCGAAGAGGTCGCCCTGGCCGGCTAAACCTGGGGTTGGCTCCCCAGATGCCCCTGTGCCCTCGGTAGCCCTCCTGGTACCACCTGCGCTCCCACCAGCACGTGCCTGCCTTTCTCCTCCTGTTCACACACTCTCTCTCCGCCTCCCTTTCTGACCGTCTCTCTGTCTGTCCCCTTCAGTTTTCTCTCTTCTTTCTCCCCTCCCGGCCCCCATGCTGAGCCCAGGGCTTGGATTCTGCCGCCCTTATTGGTGGTTTCACACCCCACCCCCAGCTTCTGCACCCTCATCACGTGTGAGGGCAGTGACATCTGTCTCTGGGGAGAAATGCAGTGACACACCAGGGCACAGCGGTGACTCTCTGACCTTGTACCCGCAAGGCACGAAAAGCTCGCGTGATTGGCAGGTGACCAGCTGAGGGCTCCCTGGCATTCACTTCCCGTCCGCCTGTTCCGGGTGTTGGCGGGATGTGATGTCAAAGGCTCCGGGCTCCACAGGCTCTAGAGGAAGTCTGGGAGCCACAGATGCTCGTATCTGCTGAGGCCTGGTCCCTTCTTGTCCCGTCTCACCTGGATGTAGGTTGGCACCCAGCGGGGCCTGGTAGGAGTCCGGGCTGGGTGACAAACCTGAAGCGCTGCGCAGCTCAGAGAGGGGTGAACCGGGGCTTCCCACTCCCTGGGTATTTAACTCTATCAGTGCAACCTGAGACCACAGGCACTTTTTATTTATTTATTTATTTGGGTCATTTTCATGACCCACCGCTCTTGGATGTTGGGCTTCTCGACACCAAAGCCCTGTTCACCTATTCATTTATCTGTTTTTCATTCTTTCATTCATTTTTCCCCCACTACTGGGGATTTACATTGAGCTACATCCCCAGCCCTTTTAATTTTTTTTTTTTTTTGGTACCGGGGATGGAACTCGGGACCTTGCGCTTGCGAGGCAGGTGGTGGCACCACTGAGCTACATCCCCGGCCCTGTCCCTTTTTATTTTTTGAGACAGGGCCTCACCGAGTCTCCGAGTGGCCCACACCGAGCTCAAACTCATGATCCTCCTGCCTCAGCCTCCCAGGGTGCTGGGGTCACAGGCGCCACCTCCATGCCTGGCTCCTTGTGTATTTATTAAGCAATACCGAGTGCCTGTTCAGGGTCTGGCGCTCTGGACACAATCAGCAGAACAGGCTGAAGTCCGCGCTCATGTGAAGCCTACTTTCGCGTCCTTTCTCCACCTTCTGGGAGCCTCTGCTCCCTCACCTGCAGTATGGGGTGGGGCCATCCCCATCCCTACCGAGATGGCCGCACAGGAAGGACCCCGCGCTCCGGCCAGGGCTGCTGGGCGTGGCATGGCGTCTGATGCCCGTCCTGGTGCAGGAGCGGGCCTTACGGGCCGGGAGGCCCCTTAGAAGCCGTCACTACGCTCTCTGTGTGGGTTGACCCCTCCAGTCCCAGCTTCTGTCCTCTCCTGCTTCCAGCCTGGCTCCCTTGTCCCTGCCCCTGCCCTGCTCTGGCAGTGGTCCCTTCCTGTCCCAGCATTCTCTCTGTGCTGAAGGAGGGGGAGCCAGGAAGTGGGGCCAGCCCAGCTTCACCCTCACCTCCAGCCCCTCCGTGGGAGTGGCCAGGCCGGGCCTCCCGTGTGCCCTGCTGCAAGGCGTGCGGTGACACTGTCTGCCCCTGCCCCTCTCCCGGCAGCAGCCTGCCTGTTACTCCCGCCCTCCTCTGCTTGCCCAAAAGCCACACACCCACCGGCCAGCTGTGCCACTCTGCTAAGTGCCCTGGTGTAGGGGACAGGGGAAGGGGACGTTACCAGAACCTCTGCAGTGAGTCCTGGTCTCCTGCGAGCCACAGCAGCACACGGCGAATTACAGGAAAGGTAGAAAAATGAGACTGAGAAGAAGCTGAGCTTTGGGTCTGATCAGTGCTGCTCTGGGCAGCAAAGACAAAGCCCCCAGCTTACCACACCTTTTATTCAGTACATCGGGAGAAACAAATGTAACAAATGACTTGCAGAGAGTTCAACAGTTCACATTGGGATAAACAAGGTGTAACGGGAAGGCTTGCAGAGAGTTCAGTACGTCTCCGGCAAACAAGATGTTAATCAGTCCAAGAACAATGAGGAACTGAGCAGATGTTTGTTCTCCCAGGATGTTTCTTGTCCTGGAGAATCACAGCATTACTGGATCACTGAAGTCCCAGTTGTGACTGGAGGCCAAACTGGAGTTATTCTGTAGCTGGGCTGTAGGCAAGAGAACTAGGCTAACCAAATGATTTATCCCTAGAATTATGTAGCATTGCTCCCAACACCCTGGCACCAGGAAGGCCTCTGCATCAGGCCCCTGTCCACCTCCCTTCCCTGGGCATCCGCCCCACACCAACCTTCACCCAGTGGCTGGCACCAGCTCTTTGTGAGCCCCCTTCGGAACTCAACTGCAAAGCTTGCTTCCTGTCCAGCTCAGCAGCCTTGTCTGGGCTCCTGTGGTCCTTGGTGGCAGTGATGTTTTGTCATTGACCAATCAGTTACGCAGCCAGCATCTCGGGAATGTGACTCTGGACTCTGGCTACTGGGAGGCTGGAAGGAGGCGCCTCACCTTGTTCGGCTAAGGACCTTAATGGATGTGCTCTGTGGGAGGAGGGATCCCTGCGGGGCTCAGGAAGAATGACCAGCCCCAGGCCCGGGGCCGCAGACCTGGGGTTTGTGCACTGGCCATTGGTGTTCCTTAGCTGGCTGTTCAGTTTGCAGACTTATTGATGGGATGGGTTGGTTGAATTATTGCCGGGATGGCTCATCAGCTGGCTAATTGATCTTATTTTAGCAGTTTTGTTGGTTTGTTGATTAATTGGGTGGTTGATGTTTTTAGTTGAGGGCACGGAGGGGTAGACAGGTAATCGTTTCATTGGTTGGCTGGTCAGTGCAGTGATCGCGGTTGTCAGTGGTGGGTGGGGGGTGACTGTCTTCCGAAGCACAGCCCAGGTTGACTCTGACTTCCTGCTCCCAGATTTGTCCCACTAATGCCCTTTCTTCCTGTCTTCCCTCAGGCACTCATCCGACTACCCCCTCACATCTCGCAGTGCGATGAAGTCTTTCGATTCTTCGAGGCCCGACCTGAGGATGTCAACCCCCCAAAGGAGTGAGTAGCAGCTCCAGCCTGTGCTGTGTGCTTGGCAGGTGTAGGCCCAAGCGAGGTCAGCTGGGAGGGGTCGCCGAGGGGTAGCAGGTGTGTGGCCAGCAAGGCACCGACCCGCCTTCGGTCTCTGGCCAGTGTCTGCGTCTGCATCAGGCAAGCGAACGGGCCGTGCCCCAGCGCCAGCAGGCCGCCTTCTGTGTGCCTCCCCAGGGCCTGGGGGCGGGGCATAGCCCTGCAGTTTCACGTGTGGCTGTGACCGTGGAGCATGAGTTCTCATTCAAGGCTCTGTGATCTTTTTGGGGTCGTGTCATTTTACTTTTGAGACAGGGTCTTGCTATGTAGGCCAGGCTGACCTTGAACTTGTAAGTAGCCCAATCTCGTCTCAAACTGGTTTTCCTCCTGCTTCAGCCTCCCCAGTGCCGGGACTACAGGTGTGTGCGACCATGCTTGGCGAGGTTCTGTGATCTTTGAGCATTTCCTCAGCCTCTCCGCACCGGTTTTCCCAGCTCTAAATTGAGATAATGCCAAACACGTGGGTAGACAAGCGAGCTCCCTGGGATAACCTGGCAGTGCTACTGGCACGTGGTCAACACTTGTCTGAGGAAGGCGGGGACAGAAAGGGCTGCAGCTCAGTCCTCAGGGCACAGTTGGCTCTGCAGGGATGGGTGGGAAAACATCTTGTCCCCATGGCAACAGAGGTTCACTGCCTCTTTCTGGAGGGTATCGCTGCCTGGGCCGGTCCACCACTGGTCTGGCAAGCAATGGGGCTGAGAAAAGGGATCCCTCCAGCCCCACGACGGACCAGAGGCCCAGGAAGTGGGTAGCCGAGGGCAGTTTTGGGGGGACTCCTTAGGCCCAGCCCTGGCACCCTCTCCACTGTCTCTGAGACCTGCCAAGAAGACCTGGCTCCAGTTCAGAGTGTGCCCACTCCCCATGAGAGAGCCCGGCTGTGTGCGACCTGGGCCCACAGACTGCCCGTACTGCAGCCAAGTGCCTGCCTCGCTGTCTTACTTGCTTTTTCTCGTTGCTGAGACAAAATACCCAACCCTCAAAGTGAAAAGAGGAAAGGTTTATTTAGCTCACAGTCTGTAGAGGTTTCAGTCCATAATCGGCTGGCTCCATGGTGGGATGCCACGGCAGAGGAGAAACACTCCACAGCAGGCCGGAAGTAGCAAAGCAACAAGGGAACCACAGCTCCTTCTGCTCCTTGTGTCTTATCCAGGCCACTCGGGCCAGGCAGCACTCACACCCTGAATCCTAGTGCCCTTGACCCTAGCACTGCACCGTGAATCAATGCCAGCGTCACACACTCTGGACCCAGCCACCTCTGAAAAGCCACCTGTGACTGTATGAGGCTTTGGGGGACATCGAGACACAGCCATAACACCTGCTGCCTCAGGGCTGTGCGCAGGTCCCGGCCACTTCGAGCACCCCTCCCTCCATCCTGAATGTAAACACGGATCGGGTAACAGCATATTTGACTCTGAGGCAACCGTGGAGAGGTTTATCAAGTTATCAAAGCCTCTGGACTTACTTGAAATTTTGCAGATAACCCAGCCTCTTTCAAGTGGGCTGCTGCAGGGACCTGGAGAATTCTAGGGGCTGGGCAGGAGGCTGTCTTCCTTTTCCCTCCTCCAGGGGAGACAGGGTCTGTGACTGCCCAGACTGGGGGAGGAAGTGGGCGGCAGCCTCCACACTGACCCCTGGCTGCGGAGCCGGCCCATCTACCCAGCTGTGGATGCTGCTGGGGGCGGCTGGCCCTGTCAGCCAGGGTGCGCCTCCCATACCCCCGGTAGGTGTGGTGCAGGGCGGCCTCCCAGGAAGGCTGCTGGGGCCTGCCCTCCCGCCTGAGACCACAAACACTTGCCCCACACACTGCTGCGGGACCGCAACCTGAGCACCCCTGTGGAGTGAGTCCTTTGCTTCCCAGCCTCTGGCCACCCTGCAGCAGACCTCGTGGGCACTTCCTTCCCAATGTCCCCTATTCCGCCCCATCAGGCTTCCGGTCTGTCTCCCTGCTCTCCCTGCCTCACTGTCATCGGGTCAGCTCACTGCAGTCAGGGAGCTCAGGGTCCAGCCCTGCCTCTGATCACACCCTGGTCCCCCTGGCCCCAGCTCCCACCACACCAGCCTGCCCACTGCTCCTGAACCAAACCCGATAGTCACGTATCCAATGCTGGGCCTTCAAGCCGTCCCGTCCCTGGGCCTGGCACACCCAGGAGAGCCTTTGCCTGGGCCCACGTCTCCTCCCAGACTGCTCGGTAGCTTCTCAGTGAGGTCGGGCCTGGCACTTGCTCCTAGCTTTCTCTTTCTTCATACAACACACCGCTACCTCCCTGGTGGCTTGTCTGCTAACTCCAGTGATTGGAATGTGGTGTCCCCCACGTTAACATTCCGGAAGCGAAGGCCTGCGCAGCAGTAGTCAGAGATGGGACTGATTGGGAGATGACTGAGTCCCAAGAGCTGCACTCCTGTAAATGGATTAGTGCCCTTATAAAAGGGTCTCAACCCAGCTGCTTGGGAGGCTGAGACAGGATAATTACAGGTTCCAGCCCTGCTTGGGGACTTAGTGAGGCTGTCTTTAAATAAAAAGAAAAAGGGCTGGAGATGTAGCTCAGTGAGAGAGCACCCCTGGATTCCATCCCATGTACCACAAACAGGCAAGAGGCTTGAGTGAGCCCCTGGCCCTTCTGCCATGTGAGGACACAGCTAGAAGGCACCATCCACTGGGAACAGGCCGCTGTACGCACAAAATCTGCGGGCAGCGGCAGCTCCTGTCATTATTGAACGAGCTGGTGACAGGTGTTGTTCCAGCAGCCTGAGCAGATGACACTCCCTGCGAGCCACGGTCCCTCCCGCTGGAAGGCAGGCAGGAAGGCAGGCTGGCTGGGGGAGGAGGGTATGGACCTGCTCTGCTCCCAGCTGTGTCCCCAGCACTCAGGGCAGAGCCTGGCCCAGAGCAGGTGCTGGGGGACCTGCTGAATAAGTGACCGTGTCATCTGTGCTCATTACATCTCTCCTGGAAACCGTAGCTGTGGCAGGGTCTTACCAGGGAGGGCAGGGCTCAGAGAGACGGAGTGCTTGCCTACGTCACCCAGTGGGCGGGGAGCAGGCAGGCTGGCTCCGCCCTCTGGTTTCAGCTCCGTTGCCTGTGGTTTTGCGGCCTCCTCGGCCGAGCGCCCCCTTCAGGGCAGGTGGGGACCAGCCCCTCCCTGGTTGTTTTCCTTCGTGGGCGGTGGGTGTCTTGGTCCCCCTCGACCTGCCAACAGGGGTAGGGGAGACTGGGTAGCTTATGAGCCGCGGAGATTTGCCTCTCGCAGTCTGGGGGCCGGGAGCCCTAGATGAAGGCGCCGGCGGACGCAGTGTGGCCAGGCCCCGCTTCACAGACGGCCGTCCCTGCACTGCAGCCTCCGGTGTGGAGGGAGACGGGCGCTCTGGGGTCAGCTTTGTAACACACCGGTCCCCCCGCGGGTGCTCCACCCTCACAGCCGAGTCACCCCAAACTCCCACCTCCGGATGCACGCACACCAGCCACTGGGGTCTCACACTTGCATCTGAGGGAGAGACCCAGGCACTGCCCTACAGCTCCTTGTCTGGGGTGGGGACAGGGATAGCCCCTGCCTCCCAGGCTGTGCGAGGGCAGCGCCTCGGCACACAAAGTGCCTGGAAAGCCTGGCACAGGGCAGCACGCCCAGGGTGCAGAGGTCCGGGTCACTGCCAGGGAGCCCTGGGTGGGGAGAGCACAGCAGGAGGCTCTGTGCCACCGTCCTGTACCCGCACCTGTCCGCCCCGGCTCCTCCCTTCCTGTTCAGGCACCAGGGTCCTGATTAAGGTCTCAAAATTGCGAAGGAGGAGCCTTGCCAAGCTGGCTTTTGTTCTTCCGCTCCAGAGTCGCAGTCACCCTCTGTTGTGACCTAGGACAGTGCCCCACTGTCCAGAGGGACTGGGGTGAGAAGCCCTGGCCGGGCCCAGATCTGACAGTTCCTGTCCAGGCCCTCACGGATGGCCACTCCCTTCCAGCTGGGACCTGAGCACTGTGGGAAGCCAGCGGGGAGGTGGGTAGCACTGAGAGCCCAGGGCACCCCGGCACCCCGCCCTCGCGCCCAGCAGGCTCCGTGGGTAGAGTCCAGGCCTGGTGGCCAGCGGCCTGACCGCGGGCCGATGGTATGGCCTTCCCCTCTCTGTCGCAGCTGGGGCTGCTGCTGGCTACAGGGGAGGCCGCCCCCTCCAGCCCTGCCCCCTCACCCTGCTGGCCATAGGAAGCACAGGCCTCCGCACCCCTGTCCCAAACCAGGCACCAGGGCTCAGGAGTGGGGTGGAGAGCAGCCGCCCCTGTGCAGCCAAGTCCAGGCCTGACCCTCTCTGTGCACACCTCTGCACCCCACCCCACTGGCCGGGACTCAAGCCACACTGTGCTTTCATCCAGCGCCGGCCGATGCACACACAGCTCTGAGCTGATGGGCAGGGTACAGCAGGCTGACTAGGGGCTGCTGGCCAGGGGAGCCTGGGAGGGAGGCTGTGGGCCGCTGCCCACCCTGCCCAGACCCCCTCAGCCTGGGTGGCAGTGGCAGGATGGCGCCCACAGGAAGCTGTGCCCAACGCACTTGAAGGCGTGCCGGCCTGGGAACGGGACTGCTGTAGCCTGGCGGGTGGGCTGGGTGGGCAGCCCAAGGGGAGCAGACTGCAAGCCACCAGCCCGGTCTGGGCCCCTAGGGCAGAAGCCCATGAGGGCCAGGCCCAGATAGAGCACCCACTGTTCTTGGGGCACACAAGGGCTTCAGCTTCATCCCCAGCCCACCGCGACTGCCTCACGTCGCTGTCCCCAGGTGGCTTCCACTTCACACAGCATCTGAGACAGAGCTGGGCCTAGAACCTGGGTTACAGCAGCCTTCACTGCTGGCATCCAGGAGGAGGTCGTGTAGGCTGGCTGGCTGGCTGGCCTTCTCTCAGTTCTGGGGACTGAACCACCCAGGGTCTTCACACTGAGCGACACACTCCGGCCC